CGAACCCAACGTATTAGCCAGAGGTCCCTTTACTACGGTTCGGAGCCGCGGACCTTCAGTAATAGTAATAAATCACACAGCAATAGTACATTCACGTAGTTGTAAACAGCATGATAATATATTAAGTAATCCAAAGTATTCAGAATACTCTGATTGAGTAACGTAACGGAATACGTTACAGAATACATTTCGGGGCATGTATTCTGTATTCTGTAATGGAATACATTTTAAAAGTAACCTTCCCAACACTGTTTATAGTAAATCCCAAAAAGTTGATTCTGTTCATCTGGATGTCACATTTTCAGTGGGAGAAACATTTCATTGTGTGTGCTCAGCCCGTGTGAGGTTTATGTGTGTATAGATGTGTGTATTACTTTGTGTGCCTCCGACTGAGTGTGAAAGAAACTCATCCCAACACCTTCCTACCAAGTCCAAGGTGTTCTGGTTGTGGTGTTTAGAGCTGCCTACCAGTGGGTTCAGGATCGAAGCCAAAAACTTTGATCTTTCAGTTTCAGTACTGAGTAAAAAAATGTGTGGTTTATTTTAATCAATGGGTTTGAAAAGCAAGTGCTGAAATTTCTTTGAGTTTCTCTGTAAGCACTCATTTAAATCCTGCTGTTAAAGGTATTTTACTATTTATTTGAATTTTTCTAAACATCTGCTAGTGCAAACTCACCTGCAGCTAGAGTATCATTGAGAGAGTGAAGAGCTGGTCCAGTTTCAGTGACCTAGAAGAAAACCACATTGTTCTTCCTCTATCCAAAGTACAACTAATGGATGGACTCTCCCTTCCAGCACCCTGGCACAGACTTTCCCAGGGAGGGTGAGGAGTGTGATCCTCCTACAGCTGGAACACACCCTCAGGTCCCCCTTCTTCACCTCCTAAGACCCGAACAACAAATTACCAGATTTCTTTTTACCTGATTTTTGTTTCTAAGAAAATGAGAGCCACATATGAGGATATTTGTTTAAAATTTCAATAGAACAGTAACAGTATAATGTCCTCGTAAGTGGATATCAGGGGTATGTAGAGCAAGATTTAGTATTTTGGTCTAAATAACCCAAAATGTGATTTCCAAATATGTGGATGCCAGGTCCTAGGAGGTTAACCATCTTAAAGCCAACCAAACTCTGCTTCTTGGAGTGGAGTCCTGCTGACTCCAACTGCACACAAGGCCCATGACAGAATCCCAACAAGACAGTTTTTTTTTCCATGGCTTCTCTGAACTCCTCCCACATCCTAGTTTTTCCTTCAGCTACCACCCAAGCCACGTTCTGCTTAGCCTGTTGGTACTCATCAGCTGCCTCCTACGTCCCACAGGGAAACAGAGCCCGATAGGACTCTTTCTTCTGCCTGATGTCTCAGTCAGAATGCTGTAGGTGATGGGAGTTGAAGATCTTAGAGACCAGGACTTCTGCCAGGCATTCCCAGAGAAACCTTGCTATATATTTAGGTGCGCCAGGTCTCCAATGCATACAGCGTCCAAGACATTCGGCTTCAGATTGATCATCAATCACATGCATACACATGCTTACAAGTGCACACACATACACACATAGTGCCTTGTCTTTTGTAACCATAGGGGGGTTTTACAATGGGAGGTGCTTGTGTGTACTGTAACTGTTTTCAATAAAAGGCGGTAAGTTGAGTCGAGGTCATCTGTGGTTGGATTCAGTGCTTTCCTGAGACACCAGGCGGGCCTCCCTTGGTAGCAAGTAAAAGATGTTCGTCTTGTTTGTCGTTAATGACAATAAGTTTCTTAACCAGCGGGGCCTGTGGAAGCGCAGACCCAACATCTGTAGTGTCTGTTTGTCTATTCTGGCAAGTACATTGAAAGTAAAGCAAAAGATGGAGTACTTGTATATGTATACACATAAAGGGCCAACAAATGTGCCTGTGTGAACATTCACATTAAATAAATATTGTACCTGGAACTGCTTATATCCCTCATACACGCTCCTACAGGCTTTGGGGGTTTCCGATGATGCACTAAACAAATTTTTTTCATGCCCATATTTCACTCCCTGTATGTTCATACACCACTAGTTCATGTCCTGAACTTTGTCTTCTTTCTGCTGCAGTTTGTTATTTGTCCTGTTTGTTATGTGTGGTCTCTCTGATCTTCTTCCTCTACCCCCTCACCACTCAAAAGATGGCTACACCTCCTTGATCCTGTTTCTATTGGAAGTATCTTCTTTTAAAATGAATGAGATTACCTGATCAGTGTGGTTCTCTCTTTGGTATTTTAGAGTTATTTTCATTGTAAAGCACTCGGATATACTTTTGTCGGGATCTGACACTACATAAATCAAACTGATATGAATTAACTGCAGCACATAACTTCTGCCTGTCTGTACAACTTGTTTCTCCTTTCTTCAGTCTACGAGCTTCAGACAGTGGAGGTGACACCGGGGGTGAAGCGTGTTCTGCTTCCCTTCAAAACCACAGCTGACCTGCCTGAGGACGTCAGAGTGGAGTGGAGACGTTCAGACCTTGAAGATGTGAAGGTCCTTGTTTATGAGAACAGCCAAAAAAAGCATGAAGAGCAACACCAGGACTATCAAGGCCGCACTGAGATGAATGAAGAGCTACTGAGAACCGGAGACCTCAGTCTGACCCTGAAAGACCTCCGACCTACTGACAGTGGAGTCTACACCTGCACCGTCTACAAAAATGATGGAGCCATCCTGAAACAGAAAGTAGTGATACTCACTATCAGAGGTCAGTAAACTCATCTGAGGTCAGTAAATGTATAACTTGTGTCTGTATTTACAGCTCATGTTGTATTTTATCAGACTACCAGGTGGAAATAGTCGAAGTAACAAAGGGGAAGAAGTCTGTGCTGCTGCCCTTTAAAACCACTCTTGATCTACCCGATGATGTCACAATCGAGTGGAGACGTGGTGATTCCAGAGACACGGTCCACACCTATCAGGATGGCCAAAACCTGCTAGAAGAACAGGGGCAGGATTATAGAGGTCGCACAGAGATGAATAAAGAGCCACTGAGGACTGGAGACCTCAGTCTGACCCTGAAAGACCCCCAAAACACCCACAGTGGTTTCTACATGTGCACAGTCTCCCAGGGTGAAGACATCCTGAGACAGAAAATTGTGACGCTTACTGTCAGAGGTCAGTGAATGCAGCTTCCTCCACCCACTGCTCTTTTAGTTGAGGAACTGCTGTGAAAACATCAAGTGTCCATTTTTGTTGAGTGTCAGATGCCAAATAGATTCACTTAATACACTCATTCTGAAACAATATTTAAATGTTAACTATTAGTGTAATTTCATGGTTCTGCTTTGTCTTGAAATGAGGAAAGGTTCCCATAGTTTTCTTTGATATCACTGAGTAATGGTTGCAGTCCTGATTCCGATGTCTCAAATATTCTTGATAACTCGCACCAGAGATTGAAGACAAGTTAAATGAGACTCTGAATCAATGTTGTCTGTTTCCTCTGCAGGAAAACATGGTGCAAGCTTTACAGAGCAGTTTCAAGGCTTCAGAAATAAGAGAAAACCCATGACTGATGGACCTTCTTCCACTGCGTAAAGTCCTCTTCCTCTTCTTGTTGTTGTTTGTTGTAAAGTTGGTGTGAAATGTAAAGACTGGAGCTGGACCATTTATAATGAATCTTTAACTGAGCGCACATCCTGCAGGTTTAAATCCAATATTTGCTAAAACCTCAGCTCACATCAGAACCTGAATCATTCATCCTTCTTTCAGTCTTCTTTACTGATCAAGTTTGTTTTATTTATATTAAATATCTAAGTGTAATCATGTGACTCATTATTTGGATCTTGATGTCAAACTGGAAATAACAATGTTACATATGTTGGTCTTTTGCTTGCTTCTTCCTGATTGTCTGTTCTGTCTTCTCTGGACCAGGATTCATGAATCTATTCCACTCACTACTAAAGAAGCAAGTTAAATGGAGGAGAAGAGCTGGCAGGTAGGTCATTGTGCACAGCCGTCCTTCTCACAAATGTTTGATTCAAATTACATGCAGATCTGTGTTTGATCCAGTGTGTATCTCTGACTGACTGTTCTCTCTCACCTTTGGAAAAGGACCATCTTTCGGATTACCTTTGTATTTGGGCCACTTAGTTTTCCCTGTATACTCCTCTTTGGTTCCACTTTTAGAAAACATAATCTCGGATGGACACCTGCTCATTCTCTGCAGCTGGATCCTTCACTTCCTGTCTGACAGACGCCAAGTGGTCAGACTGGGCAGCATCACCTCATCCCCCATCACACTGAACACTGGTGCTCCACAGGGGTGTGTACTGAGCCCTCTCCTGTACTCACTCTACACCTACGACTGCACGGCCACTAACAACTCCAACATCATTGTGAAGTATGTGGACAACACCACAGTGGTGGGTCTTATCACCAACGGTGATGAAATGACTTACAGGGAGGAGGTCACTGTTGCCGAGACAACCATCTTACCCTCAACATCGCAAAGACAAAGGAGTTGATAGTGGACTTCTGGAGGTGCAGAGAAGCACACACCCCCATCACCATCAACGAAGCTGCTGTGGAGAGAGTGAGCAGCTTCCGTTTCCTGGGTGTACATCTGGAAGACGATCTCACATAGTCAGTACACACAAACAAAACAGTCTCCTTCTTTCTCAGGAGACTGAAAAGATTTGGCGTAAGCCCCCATATCCTCAGGACCTTACCGCTGTGCCACTGAGAGCATCCTCACTGGATGCATCACCACCTGGTATGACAACAGCACTGCTTACAACTGCAAAGCTCACCAAAGAGTAGTGCGGTGTGCTGAACGGATAATTGGAGGTGAGCTTCCCTCCCTCCAGGACATCTACAGGTCGACATTCGTGTAATTGTCGATTTCGACACTATGCATATTCAGTAATGCAAATACACTCTTATATTTGTACATGTATTTATCCATTCTTATATTTTGCTTTGTTCTTATGTTTTTGTATTTTGCACACCTGTTGCTTGTGAAGCTTGCACACAAGAATTTCACTCTCATGTGCTGTTCCAGTGTACCAGTAATGGGATGTGACAATAAAAGTGATTTGATTTGATTAGACGTTTAAAGACGGTCTGTCTTTCGAGCTTTGAGAGTTCCCAGTGCATACATCTGACACGTTTTCTTTGGATTTTCTTTATTGATTGTCTGGGTCAGCTGCTACAACTACTCAGGTTCATGAGCATGTGGATGCCGAGGGTCCGGGCTGATGCAAAAATGTTTATGTACCCCCTCTGCTGAGTTCTCCTGATACAATTTACTTTCTCTAGTAAAATTAGGTCTGAGACTTCATTAATGATAAAGTTAAAGCTCTGATAGATTGTTGCAGTAGCGACCCAAGCTCATTAAGCAGACCAACTTGTGTTATTACCGACCTAATAGCCTGTTGTCTTACTGACCATGAAAGCAACCCTGGGTAAGATACTGATCCTGAGATATTGTTTTGGTCTCAAGTGGTCTCGATGACCGACCTCGTCAGGTATCCTTCATGTCCCTTTTGGAGCTAAAAAGAGGTCAGGCTAGCTTTCCTGCTTGTCAATGCAAATGAACATGTGTAGACCTTCAGTGTGCTCACAGACATGTTCCAGTGTGAGGGGAGTTCATTGATCAAGTCTGCACCTGGAGGAAAAGTGTCTCCTCTTTATTACACTGTGACTTGTAAGAGACATATTTTTACATTCTTATATCTGTTGTTGTCTCCATCCATCCATTCGCTTCCGCTTCTCCTTTTCAGGGTCGCGGGGGGCGCTGGAGCCTATCCCAGCTGTCATAGGGCGAGAGGCGG